TTTGTAGTTTCCTCGCCCCTTACCTACATAAACATGCACGTTCATACACTGCATTGCCTCACTTGTCGGGAGCTTAGAGTTTGTCCAGGCTGGGGCAGTGCCTCGATAGTGGGAGATACCTGAATAGAGAAACTTCCCGCAATCTGACGAAGGTCGACATCCTGATCTCGATCTCGCCATCCATCTAATTTTCACTGGACACTCTGATCGCGTCTTGGACAGTCAGATACGAGACAGGAACGGCTGTTCAGGGAAGTAGGTGAATTGGCACGTCACCAATTATTTATATAAGAATTATATTTTAAATTTCTTTTCCTTATCACGTACTACAAGTATTTTGGATTTAATAGAAATGTAAGTGTATTTTTGAATGGCACGCACGTGGAAGTCTATTGGGCGGTTATAACTCTTGAAGGCGCCGGATAAGTGCGTCACCAACCAGGCCGGCCGTTAAAGTGAAGTAGTTCGCCTGTTAAAACGTCTCAACCTCCAGGGCTGTGGCTTCTCTCGGTGGTTGCTATGACAACCGACACGTGGGCGGCCGCAATAATAGTGTGGACTCCACACTATTGTGCCGGTGAAGTAGATGCCAAAGAAATACAATCCTTCTTCTTACTTATGAAATTCATTCGTATTGCGCTTCTTTAATAGTGGTGTGGTATTTCAAATATAAATATTTTGTATGATATTTATTAGAAACGCCATTTTCATTTGGAAAGACTAAGGTAAGTAAATTTTAAGTTGTGGACGTCTTACTAAATTTCTCTAAATATTTGGTGCAAAAGTTGAACACAAAGAAAAAACTGCAACCTTCATTTCAAGCGGTTATGGTTTAAGGAATTCCCGTTGTTGTGTTAATCTACAGCTGAACAGAAATTGTTTTGTCGTCACGCTTGATTTTTAGCAATAAAATTAAACGTTTGGGACAGAAAAGGATTTGTCGCTCTGTTGAATGTAACTCGACCGTTGTGTAAACATGGCGGATCATATAAAATGCATAAAAAATTAATTAATTGACTGCATTTAAGACTTCATCAATGATTTTGTACAAACAAAATTTGCAAGTCTGATTAATTATTTATGTTGATGTAGTTGATACAACAGATGCTTAGGACACACAAGTGTTTCGGCGTTTCCTTAATAAATATTGAAATTAAGAATAAACTTCTTCTGCAGTTAATAAGGAAACAGATGAATGGAGATATCATAGATAAGTTCGCAGCCTTGAGGGATCGATTTGGCGTACAAGAAATAATGGTTTTTATTATTAAGATTTTTGTATTTAACCATTAAACTTATATGTCCCGTAAAGGACAATTGGCCTCGGTGCTGTTTTGATCCCATGATTTCTACTCGGTCACTCAACCAAAAACCTCCGATGTCTCGAATTCGTTTAACCATTGTGATCTCACATACCTTGATTGTTTTAGTGATTCCGGGCAGGTCAATTATCAGGGTCATTAGTTCCGTAAGTATACTGCATGTTTTTGCGCGGGAGATAGCGGTGATATTTCCCTTGCAGTATGACCAGATCTGGCGCCGACGTACCGTCGGTCAGCGGAGTTTTCCTCTACCACGTATCTCCCACCAATTGGCACCGCCCCAGCCGGGACAATCTTTAAGCTTCCGACCGGTCTCCCGGCACGTGCGCTTGTGTAGGCATGTGTGGTTTTTGCAAGGCACTCGAAATACGAAGAGAGCAAAAAATCCTCAGGGTAAATTACCTAATTCGAAGAAAAAAGAGAATGAGAAATAAAAGGAAGAAGAAATTAAAGAAGAAATGGATGAAGAGGAGAAGAATAAAAGAGGAAAAGTAGGCGAAGGAGGAGCAGGAAAATGAGAAGAAAGAGGACGAAAAGGTGAAGTAGAAGAAAGAGGGAGAAAAAGAGAAAGCGGAGGAAACGGAGAATGTGGACGAAAAGAAGAAAGAAGACAAAAAAAGAGAAGTAGAAGAAAGAGAACGAAAAAACATACAAAGAAGAATATGGTTGGTTGGTAGTGTCAATTACAACCGAGGTTATTAGTCTCGTAAGTGTAGTGCATGTTTTTCCTCGGCAGGTGGCGGTGATCTTCCCTGTTGGATGGCGATATTCAGCGCCGATCTACCGTGGGTTAGCCGGGAATTCCCCAACCTGGTATCTCCCAACAGTGGGGCATCCCCCACCCAGGACAAGCTCTAAGCTCCCGACTGCTCTCCCGGTAGTAGTGAATGTGTGTGTGTGTGTAAGTAAGGGGTGAGAATAGGGCAAGGACGAAGTATACAAAGAAGATCGCGCGCGGCTCGTGGTCCGGTACTGTTACGGCATTCGCCTTGTGTTAATCGGAGGAACCACGGAAAACTACCCATCAGAGCAGCCGGCCGCTGGAGTGCTCCTCAAGACAGCGACTGAATTCAACCTAGCTGAGAAACTAGTGCCGAAAATCCTCCCTCCGTCCGGACTCGAATCTAGGAACTCCCGGTCAGAGGGACTGTAGTGACATCAGTAGATGCCCTGAACCATCCCTTCCGCTTCATAGTAAACGAATTCGGCTACCGATGGTTTCGCGGTCGTGGCTTTTCAGTACTACCATCCCAGCATTCGCCTGGATAACCGAGGGTAACCACGGACACCTGGTCAGGAGGGCCGAAACGGGGATTGAACCCAAGTCTCCTGAATACAAAGTCAGTGCGTTACGCCCTGTGCCACTTCGCTCGGTAATTATTGAGATAAGCATGTGTAAATTTATAATATATCCTTATTTCCTCTTCACCTAACTTTACAGCCTGGAGCCGCCACTGATCTTGCTTTCTTTGGAACTGACGTAAGAGCATCTACACACGGCTAGAATTATGTCGAACTTATTTATGGGAGACTCGCTATGTTGTTCTTGGAAAAATACAAAGACTTTTTTACATCTTCTCTTCTGTAGTCGGATGCTTCTCAGGCTTGGGTTCTTCCTACACTTCGCAGACTTCTAAGCCCATGTAGACCCCATTTTTAACCGATTTCGGAAAAAGTCATTCAATTTCTTCATATGTATGTTTCAGTCAAAGTAATTAATCTAGCCATTATGAATAATATCTAGCCCATACAGTATGAAGAGTTCGATAGATATCGAATTTGGCTAAAGTAATAAATGAAACTGAATTAATCACATTATCTAGCCGTTGTACATATCTGGCCAAATTAAGTGTCAGTGATTCTCTCAAAACATTAATCACTTTGCCTCTCTAATCGTTATGCATTACTCCTAATAGGAAAAAGGTCATTCAAAGTAATAACCCTTTTTTGTTGGGTTGGAACATCTGTGAAATACGAACGTCCGATACGATGCCAGCGCAAACTGCGAGTGGAATGGCGACTTATTGTACGAACGTCTTTCTTCTTCTTTTTCTTCTTCTTTTTCTTCTTCTTTTTCTTCTTCTTTTCCGAACAGACGAATCTTCTGTTCCGTCTGAAACTTGCCGTCTTAAACTTGGGCGGCCGACATCTCTTTTATCTCGGAGTCTGATGTGATGTAGAAATGTCTTTGGATATGGTCACTACTACTAGAAGTTGTGACCATCGGGCCCTGTATTCTTTTTCTTTATTTATTAATAGGATTTCTAATTCTTCCCTTATCTCATTGTACTTCGTACGAAAAGAAAGTACTGTAATCGGGCGCCGAAAAACGGCGAAATTATGTCAGAAAAACTCTTTTTGCCGGAACCTAGTGATGAAAAAGTGGATATATCTTATTCCACTTTTATATTTATTACTCTTATATTTATACAAATTAAATTACTTCCTCTAACACACTGTGAAGTCAAAACGTATGTTTTGTGGGTCCTTCATGCAGAAAAATGATTGACTGCCAATCCATTTGTGGTCAACAAATTCGTTCTAAAATATCAGCTATTTAAAAAGTACATGTACAATTGTTTGAAAAAATCTAGTTCTTTTCCAGTAATTTATGCTTGAAATTAATACAATTTATAAAAAAGTACATTTTATCAAAAACTACTTCAAATTTTTTAAAATTTTTTTACGGATGTGACAAAGGACGCTTAAAAGATGAGCATAGGTATAATTTTCGTTGATTTCTCTGAATTTTGGAAAATTGCGGTATGGAAATAATGGGAGAGACAATTAGGTATTTAAGCCTTTAGATCCAAGTGAGTAAGTCAGAGTGACTGTAGTGTAGCAGCAAGGCTTACGGCGAATTGACTCAATGAACGTAAGTTCCAGTCTCGGCGCGGGAAAAAATGCTGGTTGAAAACGCTTTTGCAAGTTCGTGAAGTAATATATTGCGGAGCAGTTACAAACAATGCGAGAAAGTATGTGCTATTGTTGCACCACTAGTTTAATGAATATTTTTTTCAAATAACTGTTCAGAAAAATTAAAGATAAAGAGAGAAAATACTTGGAATGGAAATGTTGCGTTGGGTAGACTGAAGGATGTTTTTGTTTCATTTATATGAACTCACGTAGCAAATCATCGGCAGTGCCGTAATGTATTAGGTTACGCAGAGTAAACCATTTCAAGTGAAACAGAAAGTTAGAGTTTGAAAAAAAAATTCGAAAAACAATTTCGAAAATGCACCTTTTGTAGTTTACTTATTCTAAAAAATGTATGGAATTTTGAAACACCAGCATTAGAGACACTTTAAAATTTCTATAATAATAACCCATTAAAGAATGAAATAATCTGTAATGTAAATTTTAACGAAATGAGAGATATCGCGGCCAAAACAGTGTTCTACACTTGAGTATCGGGTGTCTCGTGAAATATCCTTATAGTATTTTTACAGGTACAAATATGGTATTTTCCAAACATATTTCTCCACATAACTAAAAAGCAATATTTGGGATGTACCACTGTTCTTGTGGTCACTGTTGGCACCGTGTCCCCGGCGACATTCAAACATGGCGGGCCCGCGCGCGCTCGGCAGTCACTTGACCTTCCGCCGGTTGGGGGCGCTGCGAGCGGTCGGTCGGTCGGTCGGTCGGCGCTGGCGCGCCAGTCGCTGCCGCCGGCCGAGAGCGGACGGAGCGTGCGTGCCAGCCAGCGAGTGCGAGGCGAGCGGTTCGCGCGTGGTGCTCGGGCATGGTAGCTGCGACAGCGGTCGCTCGGTGCGTGGGACGCCCAGGTGCGAGGCCGCGTGTGCGCGGGTGCTGAGCAGGACCGTCCTCTCGGTTGCCTGCGACTCTCTTGTTTCGTCTAGTGCTCGACCAGGGCTGTTCGGGGGGTTGTGTGTACTCCCCGCCCGGTGTGTGAGTGTGTGATTGTGGGGGAGGAGAAGGAGGGAGAGGTGACTGCGTTCGCGAACTTGCGGTGTGGTGGTTTGTTCCTGCAGCCATGGAGTTCCCCAGTGGGCGCAGCAACATGATTCGCCGCAGGAGCACCAACAAGATCGTCTACCCGTGCAGAGTGGAGGGATGGCTCAACGTGTCAGGTGAGTGTTGACTTATTTGTTTGCGTGCTGTGTTGCCGGACTTTCTTTGATTCTTCGATGGTGCTTCTTGTGTTTAATGAATTTCTACTTGAATCGATGTTGATGTGGATGAAAGATGACTGTCAGAATCCAAACACTCACATCGAAAGAGAAACGATAGAACCACAATTCGAATATTTCTCGAAGCGTGTGCATGTGCATTTGCTATGCACAGTACCACGTGAGAGCAGCAACTCGTCAACATAAAGGCACTATTAACGTTTTTCAAGTGAAGTCATCCTTGTCGTGTGCGACTGTCATTAAGTGCGGCTGCGACGAAACACGTTGGTTCCCGTTACCAGTAAAAGTGGCAGCGCTTTCCCGGAGTACATTCCCAGCCCGCGAAACTTGTCGCCTGGGTGGAAGGGTCCCAGCTCGGAGACCGAATTCGAGCCCGCTGCCTGCAACAAGTGCTGCGGCGGTCCAGCCCACCTGGCGGCGGTCTCGCTCCGCCCGGCCCTATGACGCAATGCTGCCCCTTCGCCTTTTAGCGTCCGGGTTCTGCTTTCCTCGTTGGTTAATCTTTTTACCGCCTTTCGCCGCCGGCTCGAAGGTGCCCGCGGAGCGAATGGTTCGAAGCCGAATAGACCAACAGACACAGAGAGAATCGTGTGCTGGGGCTTCATTGATTTAGAAAAGAGGTGCTTGTGGAGGCTGTGTGCATTCGTGCACCGTCAAGTGTACGAAAGCGTGGAATTTTTAAGCAGCGTTGAGATGCGCGAGACTTTCCAACGCGTGTGGTGTGCGGTGCGGGTGGACGCTGAAGGATCACGTTTGAAAGCTATTTGGAAGTCCGAAGCTGTTGGAAAGTCGTTGAAGATGCATTAAAAGGGAGTTAATAATCGCATTGTTAAAGTTTTGTTTTCTTCAATTCGCCGGAAGTTATTGAACCATAATGTTTTGACTAAGGAAGTGATGAGTTCACGTTTATATACTCCCAAACAGATGAAAGACACTTTTTGTTTTCTGTGTTTTTATCTTCACCATTTCCAATTATAGAACCCTGTATGAATAACTGTTCTATCTTTACGTGAAAATAACTGTAGTAGGACGACAGACCTTTTGAAGGAAGATAACTATTCAAACAATGTAGCTTTAAGGAAAAGATGTCAAAAAGAAAATCAGTGCTTCCTATACACGTCAATAAAGTAACGCTACTACGAAAAAGATCCTCAAGTATTCTGAACCATTTACCATATGATAATATATGACATTTCAAATCGAATTAGTCCAACTTTTATGAACTATTGATAGATTCATTTACGAAAAAAATGCTAGTAATACACATTTCTATACTTTCGTTGATACTACCAACTTGATAGATAAATGAGCTACATTTCAATTTAAAGAACTTTGATGATTCAGATGATTTTCTTCTGAATATCCACATTTGTCAGGGGAACGTTTACTAGAGATGAAAAGAAGGTGTGTAGCTTACGTCCTACCGTTCGTCGTCGAAGCTGTTAGGTTATTCCAGTCTCCTTCGGTATTTCATTGAATCTCGGGAGCGTGCTTTGAATCTCAAGGTCAAATTGCCGTGCGTCTGTTGCGGGTTGGGTGTTCATGCGTAGGGGACGCGACTAGGGCGAGCAGTGCCATATCAACGTAGTTTTGTATCGTCTTGCTTTCTTTAATTCACCGGAAAATCTGAAGAAACAGGTTCTATTATTTCGGGTTATTTTAAGGGATCACTATCTGTATTTAGTATATAAAATGTCGCGATGTATAGTTTGTGCTAAAGTAGAGTACTTTCACTTGATTTAGGTACTTGTTTGTGAGCTTTGAAAAGTAAGTGCGGGAATTATAATTGTAATACGCGTATACTTTTAGCGTATTGATAATAGAAAGACATGCGTCTTATACGCGTGCGTACGAGGAATAGGTTGGCAGGGGATACATGCCCCCTCCGCTGAAAATTTCGAAAGGGGGGGGGGTCTCTATTCCTCCTTAAAAAAACGTTTTATTTCCGTAAATATGATGTATTCCTTATTTTCTCCTTTTTAAGCTGATAATTTGGGGAATGGATACATTGTGGGGAAGAGGGGCCAAACCATCTGACAAGTAATAGTTCATCAGATATCATCATAACATCAACATAAATGTGTAAAATCAATTTTATTTACTATTTCTATCATTAAAGTTATAATTGCATTCTCCGTGTACGATATTTTATTTATTTTTTAGTGCAATTTTATGGTAAATAATTAAGTTTAATGGAAAAGTAGGCCTAGAGGATATGTAGTCATCCACTTCTTTATTCTAGGCTACGCCCAGCCATGGTTTATCTGCAATTTTCAAAACATTGTTGAACGTTGTTACTTTCAGTGTTAGCAATAGTAATTGGTGACCCAAATGTGGTATTTTATACCGACCTTAGTGGTCTGTTGTACCGGTTCTAGCTGTGTAGATGGTGTGCTGGTTCGATTCTGGCCGAGGACATTTTTTGTTCGTTTTACGGAAGGAGAGCTATGCAAACCTGTAGCAAGGCCTTTCCTCAGAGTAGGGGATAAACCGGTGGACCGTCCGCTCGTTTGTAAGATCCAACTTCTTCTCATTTGTTGTAGAAATAAAAATTACAGAGAGGATGGCACAAGTTCTAACTAAAATGAAGGCAGGTGGATACACAGAAAATGTCACTTCTCTCATTTTTGTCAGTATTGTAACTAAGGGAAAAGGGTGTAAAGGGTGTATCAATACTTTTCCCCATAAGATATCACGATGATGATCGACGTTTTTAAATCCAGATTGTTTCTACTCTGACTTCCGTATTACTTGGCTTTTGCACTTTCGAATGGCGCCTTTAAGAAATAGGCATCCTCATAGCAGCCGTCAAAACTGGTGGTGTCACAGCAGATTCGAGGGAACAGCTCTTCATATTGTTTTAACTACACAATTTATTTCAATTTAATTTAGGGTCAATTCTTAAACAATTATCTTTGAATGAACACGAAATGTATACTGAATCGAATATTGAATATGAATATTTTGCATAATGATCATATCATAAAATGGTAAATCATGTGGTTTGACAATCTTAATATGCATTCTATTGTGTTTTTGAGTTAATTTCTTGATCTTTACTCCTCAAATACTGACTATCATGTAAGCTCGAAAAGTAAATTCGCAAATGTTAAAACAGTTTTGAACGGTTCTTTTTGTATTGTGGCATCATTTTACTTTGTTTTTTGTGTTGCATTGGGAAGTTTTTGTCTAGCGTATGACGATATGATGTATCAACGATATGACGATCAACGATACGTTGGAGGCAGCCTCGTGACGTATAGTTTCAAGTGTTATAAAAGAGTTTTTACACAACGTTTTTCGTACTAAGACTGAGTTAAAGGAAGTACTTTCGAATTGTGGCGGGAATGTGTATTGCTAAGACATAATTCTCATAATACCTCATCCTATTGATTCACAATTTTGGGATTAAAGCTCTCTAAAAAAATGAAATTATGCCATGGTTAGTGGCGTACTCTACCACCACAATTTGGAACAAATTCTATACTTCGGGATCACGTGACTTTCATTGTACACTATACAAGTCACGCGATTTCACCTGTTAGTTTTGGTGGAGTGTTGATTTCCTATTTAACTCTTATCGTGACGTTGAGAGATCGTACATGTGCAGAGACTCAAAACTGGATTCGTATCGTGTATGCTGACTATTCCCTAATAAGTGGGGCACGGACAGCCCCCTTCCTCATCTTTGTATTATCTCCTTCTCTTACACACACATCCAGTACTCTACCACACAAGACAGGCGGCCAGAAGCAGCGGCGCCCTGCTGGGAGGTTACTTGAAGGTGGGGAAACCTGTTAACGGATGTTTAGGTCGGCGCCGGATCTTACGTTGCAGCGGGGGGGGGGACATCACCATCTCCCTCCTTCAACACACACTACTTACACTCGCGGGGCTAATGACCCATCGAGTTGACGCCCCCGAAAATTACTAAACACGCATTCAAATATACAGTGTTGTGGTTCTCGCTGTGCAAAGCCCCACTGAATGTGCGCCGATTTTCGGAGCGGCGGCGGAGGCGGCTGCGTCGGCTGGCCGCCGTGGTGGCGCGCGGCGGGGGTGGGCTCGCGCCGCGTACCTTGGCGCATCGCGGGGCGGGCGGAGGCGCAGGCGGAAGCGCGCGGCAGCTAGCTCGGGGTCGGCGTGCGGCCGGCGGTCCGGGCCGGCGGGTGGCGGCCTGGGCTCCGAAGTGGGACCCGAAGCGCACCGCTGCGTGCGCTTTCCGCTCGCGCCGCGCGCTGCGCGCTCGCTCGGCCGCGCGACGTACAAAGATCGCGCGGGATTCTGATGCAACCATTCCCGAGGCTGTAGCTGGCGCACCGTTTGGGGAGAAAGCCACGTTCATTCGGTTAATGATGATCTTATGATTATGCTCCTGCGTAATAGCGCATGTGGATCGAGATGGACCGTCCATGAGTGAACGCTAAGAAATTTGTTTCGGTGTTCATTGTGAAGTGGATTCGAGGTTGTTGATCAGTTTCTTTACCAAGTAGTCTTTGCGACTTACTGTGAGGTTTCAGCTGCCAGCTGTGTACTCTGATTTATCACACACCCCACCGTAAAACACGGTGTTTGATTTACTCATGAATCCGTTACAATCAGGGTTAGTTACATTTTTCCCGCCCCAAAAAGCCCATCCGGGTTTTGAAATATGTAAAAAAAGCTTGAAGCTCCCATAAAAACTCATTTAAATGCTTTAACGATTTTTTAAAATTATTTGAAATAAAAAAAGCAAAACAATTATATGTATCAAAATAATTAAAACTCAGCGAGTTACCTGGTATCGATAACTCAACACCGTCGATACTGGAACCTGGGACCTAGATGTAAGAAGATTTAATTCCGGATTCGCAATTGCGAACTCTACCACGCCAAGCTTCGATTTATTACAAAATATTCCTTGTACGTTCTTAAAATAGAAATAAGTATTGTAAAAGTTAAAGATAGCATTGCTTAATCTTATCGAATGTTTGTGGAGATAAAATGTAACTGCCACAACGCTGGGTGAGTAGAGGGAACTAAGTGGATTTGTTGGTAAATAAATACTTCCGTTTTGACACATCAAATAAACTGAAATTGTCACGGATGTCTGTTCAGTTCGTAAATTGCAGTTTAGGGACATGATTTAATAGTACGTGATTCTAGAGAAATGATTAATATCAGTTTATGTTCAGTTTTCGGGTGAGATTTGTCATCTTCGACATGTCAAGTAATTCACGCTCTATTAAATAATTTTCTTAATAGCCGGTAAAGCAATTGAAATAGAAATAAAAACATGTTTTGTGGTAAATACAAGAGCTTTCAATGTTCATGAGACAAATTCGATATGCGCCCACGCATTAGTCCATTCCATTGAAGTAATGAAGAGATTAAAAAGCCGCTGTTCCATAAATATTCATAGAAATACTGTTGGCAAAGAGAGACAGTTGCTGCAGTCACAGTTGCTGATATGAGATTGCTATACGCATTTATCGCGAAATTATGCGGATCATTATTCTGTCATGCTCGGACGAAATTTCTGACGGACTTAGATAAAAAATATTCTCATTCATTGGAGTGAACTGCTAATCTACGCAGTCTCCTGCTATTGAGTGTGTCATCAGGAATTGTCCTTCGTGAATGGAAAGCAACGTTCTTCAGGGACTGACTGGCATACGACGCGAAGAGATGCGAATCTGTGTCGTGAAAACTGACGCGAAAGATAATTTCGTACGTTTTATGAATGTGTCCTCGAAAAGATAACTTTTTCACCAAGATACTCTAAAAGCGTATCTGACTAATGGAAAGTCTTCAATAAAGATATAATT